ATGCTTCATGAGTTTGGTCTCTTGAACATATTCTCATTTGTACATTCTTATTTAAAGTTTTAATTATGTTTTATTTTAATTTCTTACCTCCATATTTTAAATTTGATTGATTTACTATTTTGAGTGTTTTTAATTTTTGATTCAGATTTCTTGCTTCTCTTTTTAAAATTTTTTCTACAATATCTCTAATTAAATTTAGTTGTGCTAACACTTATGGTAAATGTAACAATTACCTCCATCATAAAGAACATCATAGAAAATATATCAATGTTCTAAATTACTTTTAACGACCTTTATTCTCCCCATAATTCAATAATTCTTTATTTAGAGAAACCATTTGATTTGAATAGATATCTTTTCCAATTAATATTTTAATTGATATTGACTTCAAGTTTGAAATTCTTGATAAACAAATTTTATGATTTACCAAAATATTCGTTGTGTTTCTAGGTTTAATTTGTTCGGTGTTATAAAAATAGAAAAAAAAGTAATAATGAAGAATATTGTATTATTTGTAATTCATTTGTAAGAATAATCAAAGGTTTTGTTTTTTGAAATAGGATTGAGCGTTCTAAAATGCAACTTCCTTTAGATTTCAGTCATATTTGGATTTTGACAATTCTCAGTATTGTATGATCGATCTCATCTAAAGAATGATATAAAAAAATACCATTTTATAAAATAGATGGACTTTAAATTGGCAATTTAAACTAAGAGAGAGGGTCTTTGTAAAAATTATCTTGAGGTTGAATTTCATTTGAACTACGAGATGCTAATGTAGTACCATCAGGAAAGAAATAAGCTATATTAATACAACCCGAATGACCATCTAATTTGGCTTTTAATTATCCTGTCTTTAATATCCCATAAATGGATAGAGTTATCATAACTACCAGATGCTAATGTAGTACCATCAGTAGAGAAAATTGACTGACAAAACAGATCCATCATGACCTTCTAATTAGAACATTTATTATCCTGTCTGAACATCCCATAAACGGATAGAGATTCGTATTCCAGCAGTAGGAACTTGGTAAAACCCCTACTATATTCGGGATGTAGGTAGCATTTCAGGATTTGTGAATGAAAAACTATGTAGAAGCTACCATCGAATTTGTGAAAGAACTATAGGATAACACCACCTGATTTTTGAAATTCTAAATTTCCAAAATGAATGGATTTAATTCAATTTTAATATATTGACAGTGAAATGGCATAAGAAACACTAACCTTTTAAAATAAGCCTATATTTTTCTGAATTTGAGTTTGTCTTAATTTAAGAAAATACATTTTTGCTCTTGCTAACTATATAATTTACAATAGCTTTTTTTTTTTCTAAATTAAGAATGATTGTATTGTGAAAAAATATATTTCTTCTTCTTAAAAAAATTGAATAAATTTAGTTTAAATTACTTTATATTATAATCTAATTAAGCTTATCAAAGGAATTTCGGTAATTCTGGAAAAAGGTATTGTAGGGTTTGGAAAAATCAACCTCAATAGAATTTTTATTTTTTCTAACTTTAATAACTTTTCAAGCCACAATTAAGATTCAATACTTTGATTTAAAGGCGAAAATACAAATTTATCATTTAAATAATTCTACAAAATTAATTTCTTGAAATTGACCTATAATAATATCCTATTTTGGATCAATATCAAACTTTAACTTTTTGTGCTATTTCATTAGCTATTTTGACGGGTTTAATAATATTTTTTACAGGAAGTAAAAAAAAAACAGGATTTGTGGAAAGAAAAGAGAAAGGTGACGTGATTTTAAAATATAATATTATTTCTAATAGATAATTTATAATAATAATAAATTTTCATTGCTATTCTGATTCAATTTAGTTCTGTAAAATGAAACTTCCTCTTTGTTTAAATGATGTCCTCAAGTCTATGCCAGATTGATTAATAAATTTTCCTTTGAAAATTAAAGCACCTTACGATTGTAATATTAGCTATTGTGATATGACAAGGTAATTAACAGGAGAAATTGCTAAATAAAAGTAAAATTAATACCACATTGTTAAAGATTGATGTTTTTTAAAATAGTATCTTAAAATTATGCTAAAATATCTTTTTAACAGATTTGCGATCCTTTCTTAACATCCTCATTACTACCAGGTGCTAATGTAATACCATCAGGGGAGAAATTGACTGATCTAACCCTATTTGAATGACCATCTAATTTGGCTTTTTATTACCTTGGCTTAACATCCCATAAACGGATAGACTTATCTTCACTACCAGATGCTAATGTAGTACCATCAGGAGAGAAGTTGACTGTCCAGACACTACTAGAATGACCATCTAATTTGGCTTTTTATTATCCTGTCTTAACATCCCATAAACGGATACTGTCATCCCAACTACCAGATGCTAATGTAGTACCATCAGGAGAGAAAGTGACTGATCTAACCCAATTTGAATGACCATCTAATTTGGCTTTTTATTATCCAGTCTTAACATCCCATAAACGGATGGACTTATCCTCACTACCAGATGCCAATGTAGTACCATCAGGAGAGAAGCTGACTGTCCAGACACTATTAGAATGACCATTTAATTTGGCTTTTTATTATACAGTCTTAACATCCCATAAACTGATAGACTTATCTTAAGTACCAGATGCTAATGTAGTGCCATCAGGAGAGAAATTGACTTAATAAACAATTGATGAATGACCATATAATATGGCTATCTATTATCCAGTCTTAACACCCCATAAACGGATGGACTTATCCTCACTACCAGATGCTAATGTATTACCATCAGGAGAGAAAGTGACTGATCTAACACAATTTGAATGACCATCTAATTTGGCTTTTTATTATCCTGTCTTAACATCCCATAAACGGATAGAATTATCTCCACTACCAGATGCCAATGTATTACCATCAGGAGAGAAGTTGACTGTCCAGACACTATTAGAATGACCATCTAATTTGGCTTTTTATTATCCTGTCTTAACATCCCATAAACGGATACTGTCATCCCAACTACCAGATGCTAATGTAGTACCATCAAGAGAGAAATTGACTGAAGTAACATAATTTGAATGACCATCTAATTTAGCTTATTATTA